TCATCTGCTGGCAGCGAACATAAGAGCGGGGATGATGGCGCCTGGTGTGCCATCAGGGGAGGGCGGTGCTGGTAAGCGGGACTGATGGGCGGGACGCCAAGGCCACGTCATCATCTGGACCCTTGCCCCGCGTTCACCCGACCGCGCGCGGCGGGAACAGACCGGAGCCAAGTCCCGAGCCTCGCGCGCCCTACATGCCCGAGAGCTTCAATTACTAGGCTTATTAGCAATGAGTAGCTTGTATTTTAAGAGTAGTAACATGTACTATATACTGCATTTAAAATCAGGGAAAAAACGGTATAAAAATGATGTATATACATGGGGGAAGCGTCGTCGTCGTCGCCCACAGCGAGCACGCAGGCGGGAGCGATGGCGCCGTGTGTGCCATCAGGGGATGGCGGTGTTGGTGGCGGGGCCGATGGATGACGCTCAGATAACGGAGCCATCACCGTGATGGAGGATAGCGCCCGGGGCATATCGCTCGGGGGGGGCTTACAGGCGTAGGAGGGGTCTTCCAAATGCATACTTGGTATATTTTAGAAAGATATCAGCGTGCTAGTGGCTCTTACGCAAATTGCGCGAATTAGCGTGGCAAACAGGGGGGGGTATGTCACGCTTATAAGTTTTAAAATACGTAAGCTCCAGGTGTCTGTCCTTCCCGCTTACATCTCAAAGGGGAATATGTTCTGCTTAAGCTCTATCTACTTGCTGCTGTTTGGCAGTGACCCTGCGACCGACAAATCTACTGGCCTCGCTGCAGGAGGAACAAGCTAGGGTCCTTTAATAAGGGGCCTTCAACACGAGGAACAAGGGTCCTTCAACGAGGGGCCTTCGACACGAGGAACGAACTACAGCACGATATATGGTTTAGAATTAGCAGAATCCCGCACGTTCCAGCTGGGAAGGTATCTATTGGCTGACTGGTCCACTGAGAAACACGGTGTGTGGCTGTCGCATGCCAGATACAAGGGCACGCGCCCCCGGAGCCGGCATACCTTCAAGGCTTAAAAGCATGCCACATTGCTACTGTTAACATCCAAGTCATTCATACAGACGATTGAACTTTTGAGCATCTCCTCTAGCTCCAACGCCCAATATGCCACCCCCGTCGGACTCGAGAATGCCGGTCGAGGTACGATACATTGTCTTGCTGCTACTCAGGTTATGCTCACGATCAAGCAGCTTTCGGAAGCTATCTCGGAAGTCGAGAGCATCTGCCAGGCCCCGGGATCGCGTTCGAGGTGCTTCGAATACGGCTCCTCTGGCTACAAAGATTCCATCCGCCATTTTCTCGCTAGCAGCAGTGAGGTTGCACAGATCGCCGTTCAACCCGGCACCGTCAAAGATCTTCGCAAGATCGTATGTATTTGTGCCCTAGCACCGTGCCCTGCTGACCACAGCAAAATTAGATGAAAGTAATCAAGCGCCTCGACGTCCCATTCGCCGTACGTTATTCATCCTGCGTACTATTCAAGTAGGCAGCTAATGTCTCCATAGGTCAAAGGTGGCGGTCATGGCATGGCACCGACGCTCAGCTCGACGACGGGTATTCACATCTCGATGGCAGCTTTCTCCAAGATCCGCTACGATCAACAAAAGCAGGTCGTCGAAATTGGCTCCGGCTGCCTGTGGGAACAGGTATATAGCAAGCTCGCACCCACAGGGCGCAATGTTGTCGGAGGGGCTTCGGCAGACGGTGTAGGTGTAGGCGGCTGGCTGATTGGTGGAGGGTACTCGGTTGAAGAGCAACCGCCATGGCCTTGGGATCGATAATATCATCGAATTCGAGATCGTCACGCCCGACAGTCGTGTGCGCATAGCTAACGCGGACAAGAACAGTGACCTATTTCAAGCTTTGCGTGTATGAGTCTTTTCCACTGCCAAGTATTTGCGAGACAAATCAATTTGCATCCTTTACGTAGGGCGGAGGAAACAATTTTGGCATTGTCACCAAGTTCACCCTCAGAAGCTTTGCTCAAGAGGAATCGACTTATGTCTGTTACAGCTTTCCGATTCGGCATCTACGGAACTGACTCGGTCTTCCAGGGATCTTACTTCTTGCTCAAAGGCGAACGCGCGGAAGATTTCAAGAATGCGATGGTCGACTTCGTCGAGAATGAGACAAGGAAGGAAGCCTGTGTCGTGGCTGCCTTCCGGCATGAGCTGGTTAGAGGCAAGGCCGATGTACGTGTTCTTCTTGCATTCTTCAGCTTGAACTAAGTGAGGTTGTCGATCCGTAGCCTGAATATACTATCTCCATCTTTTGTGTTTTCGACGGCGAGAAGCCAAAGCGCAAACGAGACATTCCCTTTCAAGCGTTTGCCCGTTTACAGGAGAACTCCGAGTCCTGGAAAGTGGATCCGGCGGGGTGGCAGCTTGGGAAGACACATCTTTCGACTGACGACAGCTCAGTTGAGCATCGCTTGCCGCAAGTGAATGTACCGTCAAGTCGTTCAAGCACTCCTCAGCCTCGGGCCAACGGCCGGAACCGTGATTCTTCGGGAGACTCGCCTCCACAGTATGATGACCTCTTCCCGAGGCGCAGGGCTCGTCGGCGCGATGTGGACGATATCGATTTAGGATCCACCGGGTACTTTCACCAGATGTCTTTCTGCGAACTGCATGGTGTCAGTTCTGGAGGACGTGGAGGGAGTCGCCGCTATCGCGATACTTCTCGCGGTCATGACGCTCCTAAACGCCGTCGTCGCCGCCACCATCACCACCACAACAGCGATGACGACTCTGACAACAGCGACGATTCTGATGATTCTCGTGACACCGACGCTCCCAGCCGCCGCCGCCGCCACAATAAAAACAACCGCAGCTACGATGACGACGACGACGACGACGACAACGACGATGGCTCCGACAACAGTGGTTCCGGCACCGACGACGACGATTATGGCTCTGACGGCAACAGCAATTACGATGACTCTGACGATAACGGTTCCGACGACGATGGCTCTGGTGACTCAGACGACGACGACGACGACGACGACGAAGACGACATGGAGTACTTCAGTCGTATGGACTCGAAGGCAGCCATGAAGGCGCGGTACGGCTCGCGGATCATGGTGACAAAGAAGGTAGACAAGATGGGCGAACTGAGCGAACGGTCCGTACTTTTTCTTCTCTTTGCCTGATCGCTTTGTCACGTTGACTGGTACTACAGGGGACGGTTCGGTTGTCTCATGATTTCCAAGTACACCAAGCCCCTGCTCGACAAAATGCAAGAGGAAGCAGAGGTACCTCATTTTGTGTACACTCCCTAGTACGACCTTCTCACGCAATATCACAGAAAGCTGCGAGCTACCTCAAGAAGCACCGCGGCCTGTCCGTTATCATAGACGCATGGCCCGTGCACAAGTCTATCTTTGACAACAGCCTGCCAGGCGCCGCGTTCCCGCACAAGCGCGGCGAGCCCTACGGCCCCATGCTCGCGTACTTCCGCTGGGAGCACGAAGCCGATGACGACTTCTGGCTCACGAAGCTGAAGGGCACGCTCAACCGCATCCGAGTCGTGGCGAGGAACCTGGGCCTGACGCCGAGGAAGCCAGCATACTACAACAACCTGTCGCTGGAGACGGTGCCGGCCCACAAGATCTATCGGGACAACATGGAGTGGTTGAAGAGGGTGAAGGCGAAGTATGATCCCACTAATGTCATGGGTCGGTGCGGCGGCCACAAGATTCCTCTTCCTGAACGGTACAGCTCTGGGCGATACAACGAGGAGGATGACAGCGACTAAAGTAAAGCACCGTCCTCTTCCATTTTCAAGATCTTTCGTGCACAATTTCCGATACCTACTCATGTCCGTGCGCACCTCCATCTCGGGTAGAGGAACATCGCAGAGTATTTCATGACTACATAGAGAATACCCCGTGTAATACTGTTCCGAAAGAATTATGAGTGCATGCATGGCCGTCTCCGACTGTTTCAAGACTGCGCTATCCATACCTCATATCGCGGTTCTGGCGAGGATCCCTTCTGTGTTTTAACTGGTCGCGGCGGAAGGTAAAAGACGAGGTGTATGATCATACCCAAGAGAGCTGTTCTACCCGCGAAGCTCGCGCGTGAAGGATCGAGCGGTCAAACGCGTTAACTTGGCGCTCTCGACATCCTCTGCAGGCCCTGTGCATGGTCAAATCACGGCCATCAGCTCAACTGCATCATAATCGCCGCTGTCCTGCATCACGTCGCAATAACTTGTCGTTGAAGTCGTAACGACTAGCGCCCACCGTGCCCCACTGCGGCCAGATCCTTGCGTAAGCTGTATCCTCCTGACATATCCCTTCTCATAGGCAACGAAGTCGCGTCGCCACGCGCGGAGCAGGCGCACTTAAAGTCGCGCGGTAGCAAAGCAACGGAAGCTGAATGACATTTTCATGCAGATGAGAAGTCCTTGGCAAACGATACGCTGAGTGCCGCACTAGGCCACAAGTGCTGGTGACGCGACGACTGGGCTGTTGCTGAGATACCCATCGTGGTTGGAGCAGCCCGTGCCGCCCTCCACCGCTATCCTCCTTTTCTCTGGCTGACTTGTCTCTGACTGTTTAGAACCTCCAAGTTACAGCTCGACATGCGAACACGCTAGGTGCAGACCGATGGAGGATGCAGTGCCCTACAGATTACGAGTGGCAACGATTGGTGAGGCGTCGGTTCGTGCGATCTAGCTGTTGTCGAGTTGAGCTCGCATTAGGTGATGGAAGGTCCAATGTATTTGCCTGACAATATTGGCGTCTACTGTACATTCCTACATTGCGCCACGTTCTCGCCCTCGCAGTGCCCAGTGCCTCAGCCGCGGTTCTGCCAAGGTCATGCGCGAGCACCTGGCGCACGTTGTGCTTGAACTCAATCTCTGGCAGTGCGAACGCATGCAACTCTGGCTTCGCCTGGGCCGCACGACGCGCCCATCCCAGATCGTTTGCATAAGGGGTACAGGTAACGCAGGGGCAGCAGGGCAGTCGGTGAGTGCACGCCCGAGAACATCAGCTGCGTGTCCAGCGCCGCTTCTTGCACTGGATGCATGGCAGAGCTTTGGTGCTTAGGTGAGTCATACCTCCATTAATCTGGCATCGCATGCAGGTGTCTTCCACCAGGCTGATGGAGGTCCGGAACCCACGGAGCGCTTCTGGGCTTTTCCCGATGCGCCTGACCGTGGCAGTGCGTGCCATTGTGATCGTGAAATGTAAAGTGAACTTGGCGCGTCGGCCCATGATCACTGCGCTAGCGCCCATAGAACTTCCGTACTCCGGACGGCGTCGGGGGGTCTCGTTCCCATCCGCCCTAAACTCCGACGGGTAAACGCCGTTGGCCAGTGCAAGCCCGGCTATCGTGCGCGATCGCCTACGTTCGTGTTCTCGTGCAGTGCACTGTGGGGCTCTTTCAGTGCATTCCTGACCGGACTTACCGCGCAGTCCCCACGGACCATTTGTAGAGCCGTTTCAGCGCGTTCGCTGCTGGGCTTGTCGCGCAACGCTCGCGGACCCTGATTTTAATTCGTGGGCGGAGCGACGTGGTGTGTGGCTGTTACGGAACATGGCTTGAGCACGCACAGCTCTGTTCTATCAGCCTAAGGGCAAGCGCACTCGGGATGCCTTCAACGCTTAAAAGCGTACCACATTGCTGCTGCCGACACCCGAACATTTCCCCCGCCTCGAGTGCCCACCATGTCGCCCCCATCAATAATGCCAATCGAGGTATGACACATTGCCTTGCTACAATTCAGGCCACGCTCACGAGCAAGTAGCTCTCTGCCGCTATCTCGGAAATTGAGAGCATCTGCAATGCTCCGGAATCGCGCTCGAAGTGTTTCGACTACGGTTCAACTGGGTACAAAGATTCCATCCGTCATTTTCTCGCTAGCAGCAGCGAGATCGCGCAAATTGCTGTCCAACCCGGCACTGTCAAAGATCTCTGCAAGATTGTAAGCATATCTGCCCTACTATCGCACTCTGCTGACCGCGGCAAAAATTAGATGAAAGTGATCAAGCGCCTCGACGTCCCATTCGCCGTACGTTATCTATCCTGAGCATTATTTGAGAAAGCAGCCAATGTCTCCATAGGTCAAGGGCGGTGGTCATGGCATGGCGCCGACGTTCAGCTCCACGACTGGAGTTCACATATCAATGGCGGATTTCTGCAAGATCCGCTACGATCCACGAAAGCAGGTCGTCGAAATTGGCTCTGGCTGCCTTTGGGACCAAGTATATAGCAAACTCGCACCTACAGGACGCAACGTCGTTGGAGGGGCTTCGGCGGACGGCGTGGGTGTAGGTGGCTGGCTGCTTGGCGGAGGTTACTCCTTGAAGAGCAACCGTCACGGCCTTGGAATTGACAGTGTCGTCGAATTCGAGATTGTCACGCCCGACGGCCGTGTGCGCACAGCTAACGCGGACAAGAACAGTGATCTATTTCAAGCTCTGCGCGTACGAATCTTTTCTATTAATAAGCACGTGTGAGACGGGCTAATTTGCGATTTTTTTTTGTAGGGTGGAGGAAACAACTTCGGCATTGTCACCAAGTTCACCCTCAGGACCTTTGCTCAAGAGGAATCGACCTATGTCTGTTCCGACCTTTCAAACTGACATCTACGGAGCTGACTTGTTTTCAGGGATCTTACTTCTTGCTCAAAGGAGAACGCGCTGAAGATTTCAAGAATGCGATGGTCGACTTCGTCGAGAATGAGACGAGAAAAGAAGCTTGTGTCGTAGCTGCCTTCCGGCACGAGCTCGTTAGAGGCAAGGCCGATGTACGTGTTTTTCTTGTGCATTTTCCAGCTTAAACTAAGTGAGACTGCCGATCCGTAGCCCGAATATACTATCTCCACCCTCTGTATTTTCGATGGCGAGAAGCCAAAGCGTGAACAAGACGTTCCCTTCCAAGCGTTTGCCCGTTTACAAGAGAACTCCGAATCCTGGAAGGCAGACCCGGTGGGGTGGAAGCTTGGGAGAACACATCTCTCAATTGATGACGACTCACTGGAGTACTACTCGCCGCAAGGGAATTGGCTACCGGATCGTCCAGGCGCTCCTCGAGCTGACGGTTGGACATGCGACTCTCCGGAAGACGCACCTCCGGAGTACAACAACCTCTTCCCGAGACGCAGGGCTAATCAGCGTAACATGGACGATAATGATTCAGTAGCAGCCACTGGGCACTTTCATCATATGTCCTTCTACGAACTGCACGGTGTTCGTCCTGGGGGGCGTCGGGAAAATCGTTACCCCGACACTTCTCGCGACTGTCATACTCCCAACCGCCACCACTGCCACCACCACCATCACCACCACCACAATGACCACGGCTCCGACGACAACGGCTCTGGCTCTGGCTCCAGCGGTCGTGGTTCTGACTGCAGCACTAATCACGGTGGCTCCAGCAACGGCAGTGACGATGACGGCTCTGGCAACTCAGACAACGACGACGACAGTTCCGAAGACGACCCGGAATACTTCGCGCATACGGATTCGAAGGCAGCCATGACGGCGCGGTACGGCTCGCGGATCATGGTGACGAAGAAAGTGGACAAGATGGGCGAACTGAGCGAACGGTCCGTACCTTCAATTCTCCTCTTCGCTTGACCAGCTTGATAAATTGACCGGTGCTCTAGAGGAAGGTTCGGCTGCCTCATGATATCCAAGTACACCAAGGCTCTACTCGACAAAATGGAAACGGAAGCGCAGGTACTTCATTTTCTGTACATTTCCCGATGCGACCTTCTCACGCAATTTCACAGGAGGTTGCGAGCTACCTCAAGACGAACCGCGGCCTGTCTGTCATCATAGACGCATGGCCCGTGCACAAGGCCATCTTCGACGACAGTCCGCCAGGCGCAGCGTTCCCACACAAGCGCGGCGAGCCCTACGGCCCCATGCTCGTATATTTCCGCTGGGAGAATGAGGCCGATGACGACTTCTGGCTCACGAAGCTGAAGGACACGCTCGACCGCATCCGAGTCGTGGCAAAGGACCTGGGCCTGACGCCGAGGAAGCCAGCATACTACAACAACCTGTCGCTGGAGACGGTGCCGGCCCACAAGATCTATCGAGATAACATGGAGTGGTTGAAGAGGGTGAAGGCGAAGTACGATCCTACTGACGTCATGGGTCGGTGTGGTGGCCACAAGATTCCTCTTCCTGAGCGGTCCAACTCAGGGCGGTGCGGCGAGGAGGATGACAGTGATTAGTGTAAAGCTCTGCCATCCCTCCATTTTTAAGACTCTCGTGCACAATTCCCGATGCCTACTTATGTCTATGCGCGCCACCATCTCGGATTGAGAAATGTCGTAGAATATATTTCATGATCACACAGAGGACACTCCGTGTAGCACTGATCCGAAAGAAAATGCACGACCGTCGTCGAGTGTTTCAAGACTGTGCTATTCATACTTTGCATCACGGCTCTGGCGTATCCATCGATTATTGTAAGTACTTAGATGAAAGCTTTGACAGATCGGACGCCACAAAGAACTATGCAAATTAATATTACGATCGCTTTGCCTCCGACTCCCTGCCCTCGTTGCTTATGGCGGCCAACAGTCATGGTGGAATATTCTGTAGATCTGTCACAAGAGCTTAGCTAGCCAGTATGGTATGTGTGGGTCGGCGCGACCACTGGCACCACGCAGGAATGAGCGACCACCATGCAGGAAAGGGCAGCTATCACTCAGTAGACAACGAGATCCGGGACCAAAAGGGGAAGCAATGGTATGCAGGCCAACTAGAGCTCAGAGTTCAGAGTACGCGCCGCCTTGGCATGGTTGGGGCACGGCAGCCGTCGCTCAAACTATCCAAGTCGCGGTACCCATATATTCAGAACTACAGACTCAACACATTTCAGTACTAGTGTGTGCTACGTATACCACATCCGAACGCCTTCTTGTTACGCACGAGATAACTGTACAGGAAATAAAAGTAAGAGACTGCAAGCTGAGCGCGCTTGTATCTGCAAATGCTATTGTAGGTCACAGTTAGCTCAGGCTGAGAAGGGCGTATGGAAGAGCCCTAAGATTGCATAACTTCGAGGCGTGCCTGCAAAGACGCGCGCAATTCACGCAACCACTGGCAGTATCTCACGGACCCTTTGTGGAAGTTCGCAACTCCTCGCGGAACTTTTCAGTGCGTTCCCTGCTGACTTAAAGCGAGAAAATTTATATTTTAACAAGCGCAGGCTCGTGCCTCATACCTTGCCCGACTATATGGATGTCTGCTGTTGAGTGCGCAGCAAGTGGTCCTATCAGCTCAAGAGGTCGGGGCTGAAACTGCCCTAAGCTCCGACAGGCAAATGCCGTCAGCTCGCGCGTCGGTGCTCAATATATTGTGCATTATCGCT